AGTGAACAGGAAGTAACAATCTCATCTCTGAGGCTACAGTTGCTGGCAATAAGTATAACAATAACTATGATTTAATTTAGCTTCTGGCAATATGCTAAACACTTCACAAGCATTAGTTCCATGACCATAAACCAGTTAGGTGGGTCATATCATTTTCATTTTGCAGATATTGCAGCTGAACCTCAGAGCATTTAAATAACTTCCTCAGATTCATATACCACTTAATAAGCTCAGGTTTCCTGTATTTGAGTAGTCATGGAACACTGTGGCTATTTAAATTCTCCTGTACTATCTCATTATCACTAAGCTTTCTCTATTTGGAGAACAATTTTTTAAATTAATTTTTATTAGTGAAACACCATGAGGTACAGTTGTAGACTTGGGTTTCGATTATACAATGATCAAATGCCCATCCCTCCACCAGCGTCCATTTTCCACCACCATGGATCCCAGTATCCCTCCCACCCCCATCGCCCCCATCCCACCCTGCCTCTGTGGCAGGGCATTCCCTTTTGTGGGAATTTTTATGAGTGTTTTTGCATTCCTATAGCCTAAAGTATACAACCAACTAAGCTTAGACTATGTTCTCCATAAGTGAGGTGGTCCAGGTTATTTTTCCAAGGTTTTGGTTTCTTTTATTATAAATACTCTTTGTTAATTAGAATTAAATGCAGGATCATGATCTTCTAACTTTGGGAAGATCAAAACCATCCGCAAGTGACAGGTTTATCAGTTCCAGAAGTTGCCTTAAGTTTTTTCTGTCAGCTATTTTCAAGGTAATTGAACACTGATGTCTTGGCTAACACATCGTCTAAGCCAGTGTTCCTCAAACTTTTTCCAATCATAGCCCATATCTTACTTCTTTCCAGCCTTGGACTGGTAGGATAGCCCCCACCCCATGCCATCCTAACCACTTCTCCCCTAGTCTTATATCATGGTCCTCTATTTATTCCATTTTCACCTATGGCCTGGGGACTCACATACCCATATGGGCTCTTATAGAAAAACACTACTCTACATTATTTCTGAAACTGGTGTTAGTAAAGCACCATATTTTATGAGTTGTAGAAAGAATGGGAATGGGTATATTAGAAAAGCTGTGCAATATTTTATTTATTTTCTATCTTTGGCAGAATCTCCTGCCTCCATGCCAGGCTGTCTTCACTGGGCCCCCTCAGAGGGGGGTGGGTTGAGTCTCTCTCCCCGCCCCAAGCAGAACCCTGGCAGCTGAAAACCCCCAGAACCCAATCACAGCCATGTTCAAGGCCACTCTCCACATGCTTGGATGAGTCTCACGCATGAAGAAACCAGCAGAGGAACCCAGGTATGAAGGGCCTGGGGTTGAGATCTCCAAACCTGCTCTGATTGGTACTGTGCCTCCCCAGATCCCCTGTTTTCCAGTAGTTTGGCAGTCACACCCACAAACTGCCCCTGGCGCCATGTAATCTCATCAATGGCCAAGATCTAGAGACTATATAACAAAGCTCCCAGAACACAGTGACGAAGTACTTCCTGGAGGCATTTTCGCCCCCAACAGCCTCCCTTTCTGAGAGCTGGCAAGCTATGGAGAGTTTCCTGCCCACACGGCAGAGCCTGGCAAGCTACGCATGGCGTATTCAATATACCAAAAACAGTAACTATAACGGGTCTCATTCCCCTGACCCTGAAAGAATCCCCAATATGCCATTGGGCTACACTATCATGTGGCAGGGATGAATGGAGATGTTACTGGTGCCTGCTTGAGCAAATCGATGAAGACAGGTGATACTATCTTTATTTATTTATTTATTTTTGTGGGATATTACCCAGTGGTGCTCAGGGCTTACTTCAGGGCTCTGTGCTTAGTGGTCACTCCTGATGGTGCTTCAGGAACCATATGGAGTGTAAGGATTTGAATCTGGGTCACATGTAAGACAAGCACCTTAACTCCTACATCTTTCCAACACCTTCATTTCGTCCTTGCTTATCTGTCTTCTTTTATCACTTACATGTGTTCTACTTTGCTTTTTTTTTAACCTCCAGTTCTCTGGATTCTTATAGAATTTGTCTTCTTGACACACATAATTTTCCATCTGGCACTATAAGACCATGCTTATTTTTCCACGAGACAGTCAACTCTCCTTAAAATAACAGTATCTGACAGTACTGGTGGAATTATATCAAGATATGTGTGGAAAGATACTCATCTCTCTATAGAATAAAGATAGAAAGATGGTAGAAGAATCTGGCCAGTCAATAGACGAGTGGATAAACACACACACACACGTGCGCACACACACACACACACACACACACACACACACACACCTGCCCAAATGGTAAACTTTTTATCCATAAAAAGAAAAAACTCTGACATTAGCAATAATACGGATGTATTGCAGACTGAGATCCCCATACTTATTTTATGTATGACCCCCTTTTTAGAAAAATTAACTATTCACTATCCTCCCTCGGACATCACCCTCTTTAAAGCAAATAACAAAATAATCTCCTGTTTAACTCAAGACTACTACTGCTCCTTCCCTACCATCCAAATTATTACAGGGCACCCAGGGGTGCCAATGTAGGAAATCACTTATCTAGTGGGTTCTGCATTTACTGAAATAAATCAGATGGAGAGAGAAAAATGCTGTATGACCCCATTCATGTGTGGAAGATAAAGAAACTAACAACCAACCTAACAAGCAAAAGCTTATGTTGTAAGAACTAAATCAGGGTAGGGGTGGAAACTTGACTTTTTGGGGTGATCATACATAGTATATGCAGAAACTGAGTTATATACTGTACAGCTCTTATAAGGTAAAGGTAAAGGCCCTCCCGTTGATCGTCGATTTGCTCGAGCAGGCCCAGTAACGTCTCCATTGGAGACTTTGTTGTTACTGTGTCTGGCATATTGAATACTCTCGGTAGCTTGCCGGGCTCTCCAAGAGGGGTGGAGGAATCGAACTCGGGTCGGCCATGTTGGCCGCTTGTAAGGCGAACGCCCTACCCGCTGTGCTATCACTCCAGCCCACTGCTATCGCTCCAGCCCAATCAAGATTATTTTAATCATTAAAAAATAAACCTATGCAGAGAAGGGGAAACTGAGTAAATAAGAATTGGGAGGAAATAAGAATTGGTAGAAAAATAAATTAATTGTGTATGGTACCAAAATCTTCCTTACTTCACAAATTTGCTGTGTGCTTGTGAACTGTGATTGTCACCATACCATATATAGAACAGTGCTTAGTAAATAAAGATTTTTCAAACCTATTCTTTAAATAGGACTTATATATAAAACTGTGAAAGCAAGGGAAACAAGGTTATTTTGGTTATGGTTTTTTGGGTCACGATGGTGGTGCTCAGGGTTTACTCCTGGCTTTGCACTAAGAGATGGATGACTCCTAGGGGTGTGGGGAAATCTATGGGGGCCCAGGGATTAATCTAAATTAGCCACATGCAAGGCAAGTAACCTACCCACTGTCTTATCTCTTCAACCTCATGGGAAACAAAGTGTTAAAAAAGTCCATATTAAAGTTTTTTGCTTCATTATACATGAATTGATATTTCATGATCTTCAGTTATTCAACTTCTCACAATCTTCATATCTTCACCAGTACAGCATGGAGAATAAGATTCTTGATTGGGATAAAATTTACTTCTTTATGGAATATTTATAAAGGCATTCCAAAATGCATTTAAGGGTTTAAGGAGATGTAACAACATTAAATGAAAAATTTTATTTTTAAGAATTACTTTTAAAGGTCCTTATGGGATGTGGTTTCAAAAATTTGAGCAATTTTTTGCTAGGTGTCCTCCCGTTGTTCATCGATTTGCTTGAGCGGGCCCAGTGTCTCCATTTATTTATTTTTTTTTTGACTTGTTGTTACTGTGTTTGGCATATTGAATATGTCACGGGTAGCTTGCGGTGCGGGCAAAATACAGGCTTTCCGAGAGGGGTGGAGGAATTGAACCCGGTTGGGCCAGGCTGGCTGTGCGCAAGGCAAATGCCCTACCACTGTGCTATCGCTCCAGCCTTGCTGGGTGTGTAACATGTTATTTGCTTCTTTACACGTTGATTTTCTTATCTTTTCCTTATGTTAAAATTTAAATGCAGTGATGCATCTGAATGTTCCTCAGTCATTCTAGGAAACTATAGCATGTGCTACGGATATTCTTTTCTCCCTTAACCATTTTAGTGGGGAAGGGTGACGCAGAAATGCAGTGAAGCAAAAACTGAAAGTTCAGAAAGATAAGAGTTTTGAATCTTAAATCTGCTACTGGGTATCTTTTGGTGAGTTATTTATGTGCTCTGACTTCAGTTCATTTTTTCATAAAAGCATATGAAAGGGGCTCTGCAAAGTAAAAGATTATATAATTGTGGGTCTTCATCATGGTTATTAATATTTTGGTATCTACCAGATGAATTGCTATCTTTCGTTTAGAAACTGCAATTCTAGGAGTTTGAGAGACTTTTACTTGGATTTAAATAATTCCCTGATTTTATCATCTCTTTGTAACATTCTTCTTAAATAGCAGTGACTCAATGTGATGGAGATTCTTGGATACTTTAGTGGTGGTGAGGTTTAGTAACTTCCTACGTCAATACTATAAACGCCAGCACTATTGTAACCGTGTTACACGAACCAAAATAAAAAACGATAAAACAAAAACATATAAATGCAGTGACTCCATTTAAAAACAAAACACCCAAACCAAACCAACCCCCAAAGACACAGACATAATATCCTTCGTCTTGCTGCAGAAGAATCCTGAAAAATTAGTTTTGGAAGAGGTGAGTAATAGTGGAGCTTGAACACGTACTTGGGGAGTTGGGAAGTGAGCCAAGATTCCAGCTACCCAATAACTAGAGGGGCAGGAGCCAGCAGGAGAGAGGGGGAGAGAGGGGGAGACGGACAGAGATGAGAGAGAGAGAGAGAGAGAGAGAGAGAGAGAGAGAGAGAGAGAGAGAGAGAGAGAGAAGGTGGAAGAGGAGGAGGACAGAACTCTGAGGTCCTTACCGTGGCATCTTCCCCAGCGTAGTGTTTGAGGACCCGGTGGCCACCAGGATGCTTGTCAGCCCAAAGAGTGACATCGTAGACCTTGCGATTGATCACCAGCCACTGGTCTGCCTCCTGATTGTGCTTCTGGATCTCCTGCCAGCTGTACGTGTTGAGACTTTTTCTGGGCACGTCACACAATCTATTCGTCTCCTGCTTCACACAGGTCCGGGCTTTCCCATTTGCTAAGGGATTCCCATTGGCCTGACGCTTCTCACCCAGGTTGGACTTCTGACCTTGGGGCAAATCACTCTTCGTTGCCAAGATTCCATTGCCCACATGCGTGTCTTCAGGCTTCATCTTGCCTGAACTACTGACGTTTCTGTGTTGTGTCCTGCCAAAGTTAATCCTTCACTCTGATGGAGAAGTGAAATGTATCTTTTCCTCTCCTATTTCCCTGCAGTAGGATGCTTACACTGGAAATTTATCAGCCTAGTGATTATCCCTTCACACACATCCTCACAAATACTTGCCCAGCCTCGCACTTCTCTTTCTGTCCTGAACATTCCTTTTATTCTTGCCCTTTTTTTTCTATTTTTTTTTTTTTTACCTTGGAAGGTTCAAAGTTTTCTCTTTCCACTTCTCTCAGCTCTCTGCACTCTTCTGAACATCCCTCCTTCTGTATTAAAAGTCTCTGAGTTTTAATTGGTCCTCCAGGACCAATGACAGCCTGGCTGAAAGTGGTGACCAGTCCCTCGGGGAGGAGGAGTCAGGCTTAGTCACACGTTTCCAGTTCTATGTCCAGCTGGGCTGGGTTCAAAAGCCCTCTGACAGGTCTATGGAAACATTTAAATTTGTTAATTCCACATACCAGGAAAAGCTTTCAAAATCCCCAGGATAAGAGATGAACACACTTGGAAATATTCTTTATGACAGTCTCTCCAGGGTTTATTCTTTTTTTAAAAAAAACAGCAACATATTTTTTTCTTTTTAATTTTCTTTATCTTTTTAAAGTTGAAATTCACCAGAAAAACAAATCAACTATAAGTATTTTTTCCACTTTCTAGATTTTCTTTGAAAGCTGTCCAAATCTGTCAACCTGCCTAAAGGTAACAACAACTGACATTTTTCTAGGGCTCATGATTTACAAACTCCTCATTACATGTTTTATCTGAGTTTATCTTCACATTGATCATTGGGAAAGGTGATATCTGCACTGCATTCTCCATTTGAAAAACATGGGCTGAATATTAGGGTCACTGCCAGAATTATTCAGTGAGTGAGACGTGAACTGGTGCAGAATCCAGACTTTCTGATTCCAATCTCTTTCCACACCATTCTCCAAATCTAAGTTGTAGATGTACAAATTATGTATGTCTAAATAATACTAACCTAGTTGACTCAGCAGTTTAGAAAGGAGGCAGAAGATATTCTGGGGTGGTGGGGAGTGGAGGAAAGGACCTTAATTTTAATAAAAGAGATCCCATGAAAGAAAAATTCACATTTTCACAGTAGGAATAAGTTAAAAGTATATAAAATTCAACATTTACATATTCAGGGTTTTATTACATACCAAGGTTTTACAATATTATTTATTATTTCTAAAAATCAGAAGTGACCTAAGTGTCCAGCAATAAGGAAGAAAACTAATTAATCATGTGTCTATTGAATAATAGTAGTACATAGATAATAAAAGAGTTTGCATAAAATTTTTAATGGCAAGGTCTCTTGTTTATAACAAGTAGAAATATGAGTTTATTAATTCTCTTCTTAGTCAATAGTACAGGAAACAAAGAAAAAACAATTGACCACATATTGGTATGAGTTTTATTTGAATTATAGGGCTTTTCCCCCTTTTCTTCTTTATGGCATTTCCCAATTTTTCTACAAATGATCTATGCCACTTTTGAAATTTAGAGCATAATTAAAAATAGGGATACAAACTAACAAAACACCTAAAGATTTTGGAGCTGTATGGGTCTGGGATCATATTCTACCTCTATTATTTACTAATTGTATAACATCAAGCAAATGACCTTACTTCTTTGGTCTCTGGTTTTCCCATCAGTAAAATGATAGAAAAAGCACAAGTCTCAGGATTACATACACTAGCTTGCAATTTATGTAATGTATTCTATCTACAGAAATCTGCGGTAGTTTCCGTGATTCTTCATGGGAGCTTCACAAACACAAAATAAAAGCACTTGGCATTTATGATTTTTATCTGTATATAAATTCAGGATGGTTTCTGAATTTCAGGATAAGTGAGACTTGCGTGTCTAATTGGACGTTTGTTGTGCTTAGGGACTTGTCCAAGGAAATTAATTAGCCATTTCTGTAGGCCTTGAGATAATTTCATCTTGTCATCTTTCGCAATGCAAACACACTGATGGGAAGAATGCGTGTGTGGTGTGTGTGTGTGTGTGTGTGTGTGCGCGCGTGCGTGTGTGTGTACATGCACATGTGCACATGTATCAGATGACATAGCTAACTGCCTTCACATCCCTCCACTGGCATTGCCTCTTGCTGCTGGTGACCCTTGTTGCATAGCAGTGACTTTGTGATTATTAGTTTTCTCTCTGTGCAAACTTGAATATCAAGTTGACAGTACAGATATTTCTTTAAAACATTTGCAATTTTTTGTTAGTTTGTTTTGCTGGCATGAGTCTGCTTACCATACCTGAAGTATCACAACCTTTGGAGACAGAAATATCTAAGCATTGTATTCTTTTCTTTGGGGAGCAGAGGGCTCCCAAGCGTTGCTCATGTTGCCTTAGAATCTTTCCTAGTTAGACAAAGCCTGGTTGTGTGGCCCATTAAATTCAGTCCAGAGTAGCTGGGAGATACTAGAACTGTATCGAGTAGTACCAGGAGTAGGGCATGGGGTGCTGAGGATTGAACTTGGATCTTATGGATGGACTCTAATCCTCTGAGCTATCTCCACAGCTTGTGAATAGTGTATTCTTGCACAAGATTGCTATTATCTCCGTGTCTTGCTGTTCATATTTTATATAATACGGTGAACAAGAGCTATACAGATGTGATTACCCAAAGAACAAAATTATATTTCAAAGGTGAGAAAGTTAGTCTGGTGCCTGGAAGTTAGTCTGGTGCCTGGTAGATAGAGTAGCTGCATTTACTCTGTGATACTTGGCTTATTTTTAGCTCTAATTTACTTGCCTGCATTTGTTCATTATTACTTCAGCTCCCTGGGCCTCGCTTCATTTTGTTTACTACATTATAAAAACGCTATCATTAAAATGACATCATGGGCCTGGGATGTGACTCAGTGGTGGAACACCTGCCTTGCTTTAATGGGGTCCTGGTTTTGATCGTGGAATCCACAAAATAAATAAACAAGGCCTAGGGTTATGGCTCGGTGGTAAAACACATATCTTACATTCATGAGGTCAGGATTCACCCCTCAGATAAAAACAAATAAACAAATAAAATAAAAACAAAAATAATAATGAAAAGAAAGTTTGACCATTATTCTTATATAACCCGGGAGAAGAGACCAGAGGAGATGTCGGAGCATGTCTATGAGTCTCTTTGTTCTCCACCAAATAGGGAGTCTCATGTCTGGAACTCAGTTTTATATTCTTTCAGGAGGAATTGACTTCTAGTGTGTTCTATTTCTGTTTTACTCAATTCTGCAGAAGAAAGAGGAAGAAAATGAAAGGGGTAGAAGGACTAAGATTGAGAATGGAATGAGAGTCCCCAAAGGGGAGGATCAGTGACATGGGAGATGGCTCAATGGGCTGAGTACGTGGTTTCCATGTGGGGTCCTGTGATAGAGCCCCAGCACCCCATGGTCTTCAGGGCACCTCCGAAGCTCCGGAGCAACCCCTGAGCACAAAGCTGGGAGTAGGCCCCAGGCAACTGGTGTGATCCCAATACCCCTCCCCAACAAGAAATGGTACAGAGTAGAGAAAGGAAGAAACTGTACACAGGAGAGAAAGGAAGAAATGGTACAGAGTAGAGAAAGGAAGTACCTCCCACAGTGAGACTAGACTACGACACTAGCTTGACCCTCTATAAACTGTGGGACTTTCCACTGGGACTGTTTCCTCCTAAGTAGCATGTGAAGCTGCAGTTGGTGGCTCCAGGATCAGTTCCACATCTGTGAGAAGAGGAGAGACATCCTTTATCCCGTTGTACCTGGAAGTGAAAAGTTAAAGTGTTTCTCGTCAACAGCCATGGACACATTTTCCCATGTAGGGAAGGGAGGGCTGTTTGTGTTTTGGGAAACAATCTAGAAAGAATTGTTTCTCACAAAGATCTTGTCACAGATGGGGGAGAACTGGAAACTTTGCTAGTTGGGTTCCAGAACCTGTTCAATTAGGTGCCAGGGAGACACCATCTCCCATTTTATTTGAAAGGTGTGTGCAGGATCAGAAAGTATTTATAAGGAACAGAAAAGTAGTATAAGGGCTAAGGTGCATCTGGTAGATCCTGGTTCCATCCCTGGCAGACAGAGAATCTCACTGCTTGGGAGACTCCACCTTTCTTTCTTTAAAAAAAAAACTTTTATTAGTGAAACACCATGAGGTACAGTTGTAGACTTACAAATTTTTGTGCTTGGGTTTCAATTATAAAGGTAAAGGTAAAGGTCCTCCCGTTGATCGTCGATTTGCTCGAGCGGGCCCAGTAACGTCTCCATTGGAGACTTTGTTGTTACTGTGTTTGGCATATCGAATACTCTCGGTAGCTTGCCGGGCTCTCCGAGAGGGGCGGAGGAATCGAACTCGGGTCGGCCATGTTGGCCGCTTGTAAGGCAAACGCCCTACCGCTGTGCTATCGCTCCCATCCCTCCACCAGTGCCCATTTTCCACCACCACAGGTCCCAGTATCCCTCCCACTCCCCTCACTCCCCCCACCCCATCCTGCCTCTGTGACAGGGCATTCCCTTTTGTTTTCTCTCTCTCCTTTTGGGTGTTGTGGTTTGCAAAAGAGCCATAGAGTGGCAATCATGTTCGGTCTATAGTCTACTTTCAGCATGCTTCTCCCATCCTGGGAGGATCCTCCCAACACCCTTTATTTGGACTCCACCTTTCTTACCCCCATTCCCCGCCTCACACACACACACTTCCTACCCAGGAAAGTACTGATAGTACAGATTTTCCTAGAAAAATTACTTAGCTCTTTTGGCTCCCAGCAAACATTCCTTTATAGAATAGATACCGTGAGTCATAATGTGGCAGTATGTTAGCTGTGCTGAAATCATCCCCAGCCTTGGATCCACAGAGCTGATCCAGTGATGCAGAGGTCATGTTTAGGGAGTCCTCTCAAGTCCTGCTCAGGAGACCCAGGTGATGCTCTATCAATCAGGCAGGCTTTTCAGTGCTAGGGCTAGAAAA